TGTCTTTACTTATACATACATACATGCAGAAATTCACCTACCTTTATATATGTACATATATGAATATCCCTATTTATACCTGTGGACATAATTTTCACTCCCCAGTTGTTTTCTCTCTTTATTTTTCTTTTCCTCCACTCCACTATCATGTTCGTCCACCATTTACTTCTCCACAATTGCTCTCAGGTGCCTCTCACTTGATCAAACATCACCAGGGACCCTACACCCTCCTCGCCTTCAGTTGTAGGTCCCTTGCTGTTCCCCTGTTCCTGATAGATTGGATCACTGCTCCTCCCTCCAATACCCACCACCACCCAAATGTCAGTCCCATTGCTGTCTTCTTGAGATTGCTTGTCTGGTCTATCGTATGTAAGTAGATTTCGATAATAACAACAACAACAACAACAACAATAACAACACTTTAAACCGTATAAGTAGTTCCAGGTCTACCTGCTGACCTTTGTGTCCATCCCCAACCTGTTCAGATGAGGTGCCGAGCACTGGGCCCAGTGTCAGGAGTCTACTCTTGAGATTCCTCAGAACTTCATGGCTTCATCCCCGTTGCTGGTCTGTTGTGCTCCCCTCCTGCTTTGCCCCCATGTGGGGAGCTCACACCAGTTACACTCCCCACACTGTATCTACAGTACTGTTCAGCTGTTTTTGAACTGAGTCAAAACAGATGTGTTCTTCCATAGGTTTATAAATGTGGTTACTGGTCTCATTCAGCCGGACTGCGCTCGCAGGTGGTTGACTCTGTATGATCTGACCATTTTGTGATATCCTCTCTCAGTTCACTTCTCTTATTCCCTCCATGTTGGATTCAGGGAAGTCCGTGGGTCCCCCTTAGGCCCTTGTGATGTCTTATGGGAGTGACCCATATCCAGAATTTACAAACTTTTCTCTTAATTTTTAATCCCATGTGGGGGCACTATTGCTTCTCCACAGAGCATTCCAAAAGACCCCTTGATATGTGGGCGGGTCCTATCTCTCAGATGGTCTTTTCTGAGAGGGAAACGTTTTAACCACAGCAATGTAAAGAAGCAAAGCAATTGGCTCAGTGATTTTCCTTCTTTACAGCCCACGGTGCTTCCTATCTAACCACTGCCCAAGCTTATGCTTCGCAATCCTGATGGGTAACTCCAGTCACAATCTGAACACTTTGAGAATTTAGGTTGGACCTTCCCAATAAGCACCCTAGAGTTCTTTTAGCCAGAGAACCCCAAATAGCAGTTGTCATGACTTCTGGTTTAATTACAGCTGTTAGGTTTTCTTCGTCACTCTGATGAATAACTCCAGTATCTGGAGCATCCTGGTTAAATCTCCCTGATAAGCACTGCACTGCTTTCTAAGCAGTGGTTCCTGATTTTGGGATTTAACGTCCTGCTGTGGGAGATCTTGATCCCTTTATTGGCTCATTCAACAGTATTGTAAGGAGACTAAGGACAGGGCTTTGCAAGTTTGATGAGGGCCGGCCTCTTGCTGCGAGGCTGGGTGGCACCCGTGAATGATGTGGTTGAGGTTTAAGGATTGTGGGCTGAGTTAGGCAGACGCTGGGCCTTCCATGTTCTGCTGGGCAGGGTGTGGAGCACACTGCACCCGCTCGCTCCCTGCTGAGTAGTATTTGCTAACAGGACTCCGTTACTGTTGACTCTCCAGGGGCCATTATGTGCCCAGTGATTGCCCTTCATGCAGTGAGGGCAAAGTGTGGGTTCTTTCAAATCCGATCTTCGTGGTGCTGGCCCTTGCTGTAGTGTGGGACAGTCTGCTTCTCACAGGTTGGCTGATCTGCCTGCACTCCAGATGTTCTTGTTATCCTTTTATCGGGGGCTCTTACAGCTCTAAAAACAGCCCAAACATCCACGTGCCAAGCACATTTGTGCATAGATTGCCATCATGCTTTTCAAAACATTTTCATTTTGCTTGAGCCCTTGGTATTGACTCCTCATTTCCCCCCTCCATTGCCCCCGCCTTCCTTATAACCCTTAATAAATTATAAATTACTATTATTTTCATATCTTCTACCATCTGCTGTCTCCCTGCACCCATGTTTCTGTTGTAGGTCTCCCTGGGTGGGGTGGACGTTGTGGTTATACATCCATCATTGTGATAGGTTCCCCTTTTCTCCTCCCATTTCCGCTCCTACCCTCATGGTATCACTACTCCCATTATTTTTTCCTGAAGGGTTTATATCACCTGGAATCTGTGTTTTGAGAGCTGTTATCTGTACCACCAGTGTACATGCTCTGGTGTAGCCAGATTTGTAAGGTAGGACTGGGGTCATGATAGTGTGTGTTTGGGGGGACGGAGAACTAGAGGAATGGTGTGTGTGTCATCGGTGCTATACTGCTCCCTGGCTGAATCATCCTTCCCTTGTGACCCTTCTGTCAGTGGAGGTCCAATTATCTACAGATGGGCTTTGGCTATCCTCTCCAGTGCACCCACACCTAGTTCATTCACATTGATATGATTGTTCTGTTTGTGTCTTCTGATGCCTGATACCTGATTCTGTTGACCCCTCATGATCACAAAGGCTGGCACCATGTGGACTTGGTTGCCTACCAGTTAGATGGCCGCTAGTTTAATCTTTAAGCCTTTAAGACTCCAGACATTGTATCTTTTAATAGCCAGGCACCATCAGCTTTCTTCACCACACGTGCTTATGCTTCCATTTTGTTTTCAGCGAACATGTCAGGGAAGGTGAGCATCACAGAATGCCAGAAAAGTAAGAGTCTTCCCAGACAAGGAACGGCTCAAAGAATTCGTAACAAGAAACCTAGCTCTACAAAAGATCCTTGACAACCCAGTATGGGCAGAATGTCAACACTCACCACGCTTAAATAAGAGACCATCACAAAGAACTACTCCACCCAGAGGGCAACAAAGAGAAAACAAGCCCCAGGGTAGCATTAGCTCAATGATGAAAATAATGCACGAATGACCCACACTCACACACAGCACACACTGATACGATAGGGAGGTAGGAAAACACCCAACACAAGAGGTACAAAATGACCTCACAGAGTCCACAAATGCATGTACCGACACTGAATATCAACGGACTGAATTCAGGCATTAAAAGGCAGAGGCTAGAAGACTGGCTTAGAAAATAGCCCATCAATCTGCTGCCTAGAGGACACACTTCTCAAGATTACACACAAAAACAGGCTGAGAATTAAAGGCTGGAGAAAAATATACCAAGCAAATGGCAACTCAAATAAAGGAGGGCTTACGAGTTAGTTAAAGTTTACTGTGCCAACCTGGCCAGATAAACACATGTGGGGTTAATTGAAGGGCAGAGAGATAAATGGCTCACTGAGCCTCACCTTTTGAGTTCTCGGGTCTCTTGCTTTGTGATGGTCAGATCAGGGTGCAGCTGACGTAGCCAGTTCCCTGCTTCAGCTGGCAAGGCTCACTTACTGCAAGACACCCCTGAGGAGAAGCCACATGGACCTACCCCAATGCAGCCCTGGGTGCTGGAGCAGCCGTGTGGAGACCTCTGCCGGCGCTGACATGTTTACACATTCACTGACTCGGCTTTCCTCCTTCAGTCAGCGTCACAGTGTGTTTTTTGTGAGATGGAGGAGGACTTTGTGGATTGGTGTTGGACATATGGGATAATGTTGGACTTGTGGGCCTGGA